CTGTTCAAAACGAGAAGGCCCGCTCCTGCTTTGCATTTCAATTTAACATTTCAGAGAACTGGCAGCATGTTTCCTCTCTTAGCCCTCCCTCCGTTCCACCCACATGGCTGCTTGTTGTTCTGGCTGATGCCGTTTGCTGCTCAAGGGGCTTCAGCATTGCTGAGAAATTTGGGATTTCCACACCGGATCCCTCAGGTGTATACATGCTTAAATTAATGACCAGCTTTAACGCCCCTCCTCCATCCTCCTCCAGCCCTGCTCCCATCCTAAAAGTCCTGCTGTCCTCCCTGCTCACACTGCACCTGCTTTTCAGTCTCAGAGGTCTGATGGTTTCACCTCTGCGTCCCTTTGTATATTTCTAAAATCTCAGCAGCACCTGAAAGAGTCTGCACTGTCTGCATCAGAGGAGAGTTATTTTTGTAGCAGCCTTCTTAAAAACTTTACGTGGACGAGGCTAAGGTGAAGCTAGCCGGCTGCTGATCCCGGATCCCAACGGCAGCCTCTCCTCCACGGGTCTCAGTTCCTTCCCACAAGCGTCAGCTCAGACTCTGTCTGTGTGGGCAGGGATTTTCTGTAAATGATAAATAGAAGCGGCATGGCGTCTGAGTGCCGTCTCAACTCCCCGCTCAATCTTGATATCTCTCACGCCGCACAGGTGTGCTGTGCGAGATTTTATTCTTTGTTGTGAGGTTAGACAGTTCAGAACACACAGAGCATTAGTATTTAACACATTAAGGCTTGTCTTTTGAAAGCTCAACTGGAAACATTTCTAAAATTTACTCTGTAGCAGCTTTACACCTGTAAGGCCAAATTGATCAACCTTGGGTTTTAGGGAATGACACACTTTTGAGGGAACTCTGAAATATGTCAATTTCTGATGTCTTTTCATCAGGCCAGGAGAAAAAAAGGAAAATCTTAATGTCATAAAGAAAACATTGAACTTAGACGAAGAATGAGAGAAATGAACTCCTCTGCACTAAGATAGTGATACTATAACACCGCCGCCTCACAGCTGAAGGGATTTCTGGGTTGAATCCCGGCTTGGTGCCTTTGGGTAGCGTTTGCATGATCCAACCCTGTGTCCGCGTGGGTTCTCTCCGGGTGCTCCGGCTTCCTCCCACCGTCCATAAATGTGCATATTAACTTCATGGATGACTCCAAATTGGCCGTGGGAGTGAACGTGTCTGGTTGTCTGTCTCGCTCTGCGTGTCTCAGCAATTACTGGAGACCTGTCCCAACCACAGCTGGGATAGGCTCCAGCCGATGGATGGATGGATGGATGGATGGATGGATGGATGGATGGATGGAT